GTTTCCTCACTTTCTCCTCAACATAAGATTTGGGGGAAAAGCAAAACCAAAATCAGACCCGTTTTGTCTTAGAAGTTAAAATATGAATTAAAATAATATATTTTCTTCATAATTATTAAGAGTTACCAAAACTTTTGGGTCTAAGGTATTATAATGCCTAAAAGAGAATTACATAATCATGAGTTAAAAGAATGTTGGGGAACAATGCATAATTTAAAGCTAGATTTCTTTTTTCCAGAACCTGCTATGAATCCCTCATCTTTTTTGTACCTAATATGTAAAATAAAACATTGGGTAAAAATTCCTTTCCACTTCTCTCCCATTCCGTATTACTTATCATTAATTTGGGGCAAGGAAGGAATTGGTAAATTATGAAAATGAATAAACTAGATATGTCTTTAAAATATTTCAAGGAGTCCTATTAATACGTCTCACAAAACTTTTCCAGAGATTAAATACTATTTTTACTTGGCAAAATATGAAATGCAAGGTGAGAAACTAACTTAAAGATAGAATGAAATAAAACTGTGTGAATGTTTGGTGACAGTAAATATTGCTTGTTTGGCTTCTTTGAATTCTGGAATCCTCACTGTAGTTAAGTATGTGCCTGTAGCAAATTATGTCTGCTATATCATGAGAGCAGACATAATTTGCTATGATTATTTGATGTTTGTCTTCTTTGATCAATTGCAAGGTATTTGTAGATAGAAATTAATCTTATTTGCTAAAGAGTGCTCAGCAATAATGTGACTGTGACAGATTGCTCAAGCCTGGCCAGCATGGTTCAGTGCTTGAGCATTGACCAATGAACCAGGAGGTCGGGTTTCCATTCCAGGTAAGGCACATGCCTGGGTTGTAGTAGGCTCGATCCCCAGTAGGGGACATGCAGGAAACAGCTGATCAATGATTCTCTCTCATCATTGATGTTTCTATCTCTTTCTCCCTCTCCTTTCCTCTCTGAAATAAATAAAAATATATTAAAAACAAACAAATAAAAATCAATGGAAAAAATATTTGATTAACCAAAAAAAAAAAAATTAAATTAAAATAAAAGAATTTCTGGTTTACATCTGCCCTCTAGGCTCATCCTCTAACAATGACTCCATTGAATTGATTTCGTGGCTTTGAAAATTTCTAGAATATAAAAATTGATATATTTTTCACCTTTGATGTTTACTTGATTCTACTATTGTACAACTAAAAATAGAAACTTCTAAAACCACAAGAAGACCATAAAAAATGCTATGTTAGCTCCTAAAGTCTTACTCTACTGCTTAAAACAAAAAAAAATTGTTTTAATTACCATTATAGATATTTATCAACAAGAACATCATTTTAGTATTTTATATTTGAATGATAGTAGAATATGTTTACAACTTTAAAGGTAGTTACAATGAAGTAATTAAGCTATTCACATTGAAATAAAATGATTTCTTTTGTATGTGAAACATATATTTTGCTTAAAAATAAAAGGTTTCCAAAAGAAATAATTAGGATCTGAAAAAAAAGGTTGTCTTGAACACTGGTTCAAACAACTCTAGGATCTATAAATTGAAATTTAAAAAAAATGCATGTATATTATTTATTGATTGCTTCAATTTCATAATCTAATGAGCACATGTAAATGATCTCATTATATGTTAATGTGATGAAGTTAATCTTACAGTGAATGTCCTAGTTTTTGTTACTTTTGTTTTCTGGACAAATAATTTCTGATCATTCTTATAATATACTAGATGTCATCGCACAAAATTGTGTGGCCCTGCCCACCCACGTGCCTCGCTGCACATGCAGCTTCCTGATGATTGGTCTTTGGTCCTTGTGGTGTTACGACCCCTGGGATTTTATTATATAAATTAGGGAAAGACCACCTACTCTGGTCTCCTTTTCTTTAAGCCAATGATACATCCATTTTAATCCACATGACTTATTTTCTCCCTCAAGAGTTTCCACTCTTCTTTTTATTACCCTTTAGCAGTGCTCATATAAGTGAAGATGTGATCCTTCATTAAATCCTCTTATGCTCTTTCTTCAATGGAAAAAATAGTACACTAATTGCCTCACTAAGTGCAAAGCAAAATATAAGATCAGCCCTCAAAACTTAGGCTATTAGTAACTATGAGATTAAATTATTTTTTGGCTGATGACTATTTAATTAAGTTCATAAATTTAGTTAATTATTATCAAGTCTGCAATTATAGGGAAATGTACACAATCCTATTATAAACTCTCGTTATCTTTTTCTATTCCTTTATTTTATTTTGGATGCTGAAGAAATGCAATCAATTTGGGACATCTTAACTTTCCCCTTAATGTCCTGGTACAATGTCATCTTATTGTTGACTTTTCATCATTGATGTTTTGCATCAACCACTCATTGTCTTTGACTGATAATCAATCACTCAACAATGCAGCAGTAGAAACCAGTATGTCACATGCCCACATGTGACTGAGGATGCTGAGAACCAGTGAAATAAAATTCACATGAAGTAATTTCATTACTATAGTACAAATTACTAATGCCTGCTAACCCTCAAAATTAGTTGATCACTCTTCAGCCTTAAAAAGAAAATTAATTTAAAAACCTTCATATGTTACATAATTAGAACATAATACATCAAAGTTTTTATTTATCACAAGTAAAGCAAAGGACTAGAGACAATGTGTTGTTGAAAAGAGAACCATACAGAAAGAAGAGATAGAAAAATATCACTTTTGAAGTCTACTGAAAGCAATTAGCAATACAGTGAATCCTGGAAGGAGAGAGGGGATGAGAGTAGAGAGAGAATAAAAATCCCTAATTTTTGAGAGCTTTATTATGGACCTGGAACTATTTTAAGTCTCATTTAAACTACATACAAGTATTATCCTCATTTTACAGGGGGAGAAACTGAAATGTAAACAGTTAAGAACATTCTCAAGTTCAGTTAATGATAACACCAGGAACTGAACCCAGGAGCAGGTGCTTATTCCACCATCCCACTCCACCACAGAGAATAAAAATAAGTTATTCCATATATTCACTGAAAGTAAAAGTAGGAGAGAAAGCTAAAAACAAACATAGAAATAGAACCTTTAAAACGAAATTGAAGATAATTTGAAAGAATGCATAGCAGGAAAGGTTCCTGTGGGAAGCAGTTGAACCTCTATTTTTGAGGTTTTTAAAATAAAGTAGTTTCTACTGTGATCGTTCACTAGTTAAATATTACTGTACCTCTGGAAGCCCCCACCCCAGCCTTCTGATGTGATATGAAAATGCTGACTTTCTTAACTAGGAGAAGAAATTGTACAAATGACATCTCATTCCAAAGCCTCAAAGCTGGCTCCTATTCTTACTTTGGACATGCTTAGCATAATTTTCTTCACTTAAGTCACAGAGTATATTTTCTACTGCATTATTATTTACTAATAAAGAACTGAGAATATTTTTATGAGTTTTAACAAAAAGATGAAAATATTTGTTTATGAATGAGAAACATTGTAATGTAACTACTAAAACCATTTTAAAAGCATATTTGCACAAAGCAAATTTAAAGTTAGCACAAGTACTACTATATAAAAAAATCAAAATAATAATGGGTCATAATCATAAACTAATAACTTTTTTGTACCTTTTTGTTAGATTTTTATAAATTTTTACTCGAGAAAAATCAAACACCCAAAGAACAAAGTTACTTTTGCTAAAGTAAGTTAATATTTTCATTTAATTAAATGATCTATTAAGTTTTGTGAAATATTTATTCAGAGATTTATTTTTCATCCCAAAATATATTTTCACATCTTTTGTTATATTGTTGATGATTATACATACTGTCAGTCTGCTTTAGTTTTCCATTTGCAAGTGTTTGAGGAAATATATTCATATTAATGCTTAGCAGTCTATTATAATGAAGTTTTAATGTTAGAGTAATACTGTATTTGCAGTATTTTAAATAAAGGTAACTCTTTATGAACAACACAATGTGTGTTTATAGCTTTTTTTCCCCCTGGCTCAGAAACTTTAAGAATAATTCTTACAATTATCTATCCTGCCTGGCTGGCTTGGCTCAGTGGTTGAACATCAACCTATGAACTAGAAGGTCCCAGTTCAGGGCATATACCCAGGTTGGGCTCCATTCCCAGGGCAGGCCATGCACAAGGCAGCCGGTCAATAATTCTCTCTCATCATTGATGTTTCTATCTCTCTCTTCCTCTCCCTTCCTCTCTGAAATAAATGAAAATGTATTTTAAAAAATTATCCATCCTACAACTTTACTGATCTTCATTGGACATTTGTGTATTGAGACTTAAAGTCTGTGGATGAATATAATTATCTAAAGTGAATATGTATGAATAATAGGGAGTTCACATGCACTAAGACTATGATATTTATCATTGTTGTGGGGGGAAAAATTTCCTTTTTGGGGTTACATTCTTACAATAAAATCTGTTCTATTTAGAGGTAAAACGGACAGTGTTAGAAAAAGCTTCTACGGCTCTGCCATTCTACTCTATGAGGAAAATAAGTCCCCAGGAGCTAAGCAGCTCTCCCATGGTCACACCATCAAGGTGACAAAAACAAGCATCCTGGCCTGTAGCCCCGGTCTTTCCTACACCACCATCACTCACGGTTCCCTCAAAGGGAAGAGATACACAATTCCAATGAAGAAGTGCCACCAATGTACTCTAATATTTTGTTGTTGTTTTTTTCAAAACACATTGGGGCCACGCCTCAGTGCCGATCATACCACCCCAACTGGAAAAGTGTGGCCTCCATGAATCACCCGCAGTTGCACCTTGTGGCCTTCGTTGCGTGGAGCTCCTCTGCAGAACCGGCTGTCACAACATCGATCATGTTCTTATCAGACTATGTCTTGGTTGCAGACCTCAGTCACTGAACCTGCCGGACTTGTTTCTTTTCTTCTTACCATTGACTGTGATTATTTTCCAGCCTCCTAGCCCTGACCTGGCTGATAGAGATCAGATGGTGTCTGGATAGAAGCTGCCCCAGTTCTGGGTCCATGATGTATGCGTAAGTACTCACGTAGCTTGCTTTTCTCAGTTGGGTTATCTACAGGGAGAGAGGTTTACACCTCGTGGGTCATAAAGTACAGGTGATGGTTGGTGGAGAGTGCTTTAAAAATAAGAGTTTTTCATGTGTTTATTGCCTTTTGTGTTAAAAGTTTTATTTTGTTGTTTTTAAGTATAGTTTTTGTTGTTTTGTTTTTCTTTTTGTTTTTTTTTACAACCAAATGAACCAATGTAGTCCTTTCTAAATAATAAAAATGGAAATTATATGTAGTAATAAATTGTTTTATTTAAACATTTAGAAGAACCTGTGCTTCAAAGAGTAAAGTTTTTAATATAGTTCATGTAATTTAGTATGATCAAATAGCTTTGTATAAATTTGTGTCTTATGTTGCCTTAGAGGTATACTCTGGAAAAACTAAAAATAAATTTAAGAAGGGAGTCAATTAGAGTTTTTATTTCTCTTACTAAACAATGGAAAGTATGGTAGCAACATATGAATGAAATAATCAAAATTAAAATATTGGTATCTAAAAATTATTGAGTTAACAAAATCTAGACTCTGTGACATTTGTCATAATTCAACTCCAAAATGGATTAATTAATGAATTGATTAATTAATAAATTTAAGACAAAAAATTTGTATATGTTTATATCTAGACAATTTCAGGCTATTGCTTTATAGATTTGTTAGTGAATAACTGCTATTTGATCAGAGTGATTTCATTTAAACTCCTGCTTAGTCTAACTAGACTTCTTATAGAGCTTCTGGATTTCTCTACTGACACTAGTTTCCCACATATTCTGCACTGACTAATGTGTCAAGTGTGTTCATGATTTTGTGATAATTATAAGTGTTCAGTTATTTGATTTTGTCCTTAATGAAATATAATACTTTAGGCTTGTAGGCTCTGACATTATCTGATAAGTGTTTTGCTCTCTCAAATAACAGCATGAGTCATGCACATGGGTCCCACCACAGACCCTTTCATGTTAGCATGATGTAACATATTATCCGAAATTTTTATTAAAGACAAGGAAGTGTATTTCTCATTTACCAAGATAAGAAGAGAGTAAAAAAAAAAAGTGCAGTGAAAAAAAGCTTATAATTATATTTAACAAATATTTATATAACTGAAAAGCTAATGATTTTAGTTTTAAAAAATTAATGAGCAGAGAACTTGAAGTTCTGTTCTCATTTTTTTCGAAATTTTGTGTATGGCTTTTCTACTAACCTGGTTTTCCTCTTCCCAATTTTTGATGTCATCTCCACTCACTCATTTTTCCACTCTGAAAAATGACATGAAATTTCATTGTAGACATGAAATTTCTATATTGAGCCTCATCAGCTTTAATTCAGAGTTTATAGGTTTGAGGATTTTAAGTATTCTTTCTAATTGCATTCCGGGATGATACTGTCAAAAACTATGGATTTTGCCAGTGAGATAAGATAAGATGATTACTAATGGAATTCATTTTGTCCAAGATATAAAGTATCAAGGAACAGATGAACTAGATATGCAAAGCTTCTTAGCAGAAGTTACCTCTTTTTCACTGTGGTGTAGTAGTAGTAGTAGCATGAAATTTAGATGTATATAAATTCAGCTTTACACTTATTTGTCTAAACAATCACCTCTCAAGACTTCACTTTTTTAGTTATAAACTGTGGGGAGACTTTACTGTAAAATAAATAGGGAAGAGGTTGTCACCATTATTGGGACTTGAAATCATTGTTTTAAATAATAACAAAGCTATTTTTTAATGGTTTATTATTTGTTTTATTTTGGTACTATTTTGTTTGTGTGTTTTTTTGTGTTAAATAATGATGAGCTACTATCCAATATTAATTTTATTATATTTTAATATATCCCAAGTAGTAAATTAGTAAGTGTAAGTATTATATTATGAAACTGTTGCTTATGTGTGTGTCCCATACTGTGATATAGATTTTTTTTTTATTGTGGGTCATGGTAAAAAAAATGTTTAAAAACATTACATTAGATAGCATTAAAGTTCTTTGGAATAATTAAATTTTATGATTTCTAAAGAGTTAATAGCTAGTTAATGGAGATCATTAACTTTCTTAAGGTACTAGAGAATCATTACCCCAGGGTTTACTTTTTTTTTTTTTTTTTACTAGTCCATATATCTGGTACTCTCCACAGTAAGGTAGAGATTAGAGATATGATTATCAGCAGTAGAGACCTCAGATGCAAGAAGCAAATCAATAAGCCACATGATGACACACTCTGATAAGTGTAAAAATAAAATACTATAAGCAAGGTGCTAAAAGAGTAACCACACAATCTTATAAAAGCTTCTCTGCATATACAATAATTGAATTTAGCACTATAAAGCAAGTAGAATTATTAGAAGGAAATATTCTAGGGTTTGAGAATATAGCCCTTGCAAAGGTCAAGAGAATTGAGATATACTTACAAATAACTATTGTGCATCCTATATAATAAAAGAGTAATATACAAATTGACCATCACTCTTACATACAAGATAGCTGCCCCATGTGGTCAAAGATGACTGCCCCATGTGGACACAAGATGGCTGCTACAAGATGGCCAGCAGAGAAGGATAGTTGGGAGAGACCAGGCCTTCAAGAAAGGGCAGCTGGGGGCAATCAAGCCTGCAGAGAAGGGCAGTTGGGGGTGACCAGGTCGGCAGAGGAGGGAAGATGGGGGCAAACAGGCTGGCAGGGGAGCAGTTAGACATCAATCAGGCTGGCAGAGGAGTGATTAGGGGTGATCAGGCTAGCAGGCAAAAGCGGTTAGGGGAAGTCAGGAAGGCAGGCAGGCAAGCAGTTGGGAGCCAGCAGTCCTGGATTGTGAGAGGGATGTCCAACTGCCCATTTAGGGGTCCCAGATTAGAGAGGGTGCAGGCAGGGCTGAGGGACACTCCCACACCCCATGCATGAATTTTGTGCACCGGGCCTTTAGTTATCAGATAAAAATGAAGTGAACAGTCAGACTACAAAAGGACTTTTGTGCCAGATTAAAATATCTGAACTTCATTAGGAGAGTGGAGTGAAAATTAAACAAGAGAAAGAAATGATGAAATTTGCAATTTAGAACTGTTAGGGTGGGACAAAGCAGCTTGATGGTTCATTTGTCTTCTGGGTACAGTTGCAGAGCTAAATAAAGGGAGTGGCAGGGAGACTACCTATGTACATATGTCTTCTGTCTTCAAGAGTTGTCATATTCTTGAATTATACGTATAATCACTATATGCCTCCAATTAATGTTCCTTCCCACCTTTGGTGAGGCATTATAGTCTTCTTTCAAGATTCTGATCAAAGTTACTGTGAAATTTTTCTCCTACCCCCACATCCTGCATCTTAATTGTTCCTGAAGCACAGCCTTCCTATCAAACTTGCATAAGACATTGTTTATATTGCCGTTGGCACTTCTTTGTGCTATTATTTGTTTTTCAATTATATCTCTTCAGTCAAGCAGACAGCTTTCTGCATTCCCAGTGCTAAACATATTGCCTGGTCCATCATAGACTGTCAACAATCCTGGGTTGATGTACAATAAAATACGCCTAGAGCCAAAGAACAGATGCGGAGAAATAGGAGAGGTTAATTAGCAATAAATGAAAATTTCAAACTTACTTTTTTTTTACATACCTATTCAAAAGGGTGTATGAGATATTTGAGTTACAGTAATTCAGAAGGTAAAAAAAAAACACATCTGAGCAGTGGAGAGAATTCATTCCAAGGCCATCTATGTACATATATTGTGCTGATGGGAATTTATTACAGAAGAGATAAAAGCATCAGATAAGTGTTTATAGACTAGATTTTAAAGTTTCATTAATTCAACAAATGCTTATTACCAGTAGCACACTATTCACACAAAATATATGTATACACCTACATATATTATACATACACAGGATGTGTTATGTGTATACAAAACATGTTTACACATACACATAAACAAATACACATACAGACACACACAAATAAAACACATTCTCTATTTTTATGATTGACAATCTAGAGGAGGAGACATAATAGCCCACTTAACAAACAAATGGATGTGAATTATAAATATAAGTATGATGTAAGGATTTGTACTTTTCCCCAAAACATTTTTCTAATTCACTTCATTTATTTTATAATTCCTGGATTTGATGATAATGCTGATAGTGATAACTGATGTCTTTTATTTACAAGACATTTTGTTTGCATGATAGCATGCCACAGTCTACTTTTGTTTATCTAAATGATGAATCTGTGAAATGTATTTTTAAAACATTAAGTACTGAAAAATTTTCTACTGGGCTTAATGAAGCTTTGTGAAGATCTAAATAGGACCTCTTAACACCATTCAACAAATGTAGGAAGACTGCATGGAAACCAGTATTTGACCAAGAAGCTATGTCTATGTTGCTTTAAGAAAATATTTGTAGTAGTCTCTTAAAAAAAGGTATTGTGCCAAAACCGGTTTAGCTCAGTGGATAGAGTGGCCTTCAGACTGAAAGGGCTCAGGGTCGATTCCGGTCAAGGGCATGTACCTGGGTTGCAGGCACATCCCCAGTAGGGGGTGTGCAAGAGGCAGCTGATTGATGATTCTCTCTCTTCGATGTTTCTACCTTTCTATCCCTCTCTCTTCCTCTCTGTAAAGAATCAATAAAATAAAAAAGGATATTGTGTATTGGAGTACTGTGTACTGGTGACTGGATATTTAGAGACAAATAGCCAAAAAAAGTTTTCATACTCTTGAATCATATAATCACTATATGGCTTCCTTATTTATTATGAAGCTGAACCCTTATCATTTCAGGAACATATATATTCAGACTCTAGAAATTTATTACAGAAGTGATAAAAGCATCAGATAAATGCTTATAGACTAGACAAATTCAAAGACAAATCAGAAATGTTTGCATTGGGTTCTGTACATTGTTTTCTTCCAATAATATACATATGAGTAAACTTTAACTCTTACTTGATTCCTTTCAGTTGTTGCCAGTATTTAAAACATATTG